TTTTTTTATCATTTTGGGTTAATGTGTAAGCAAATGCCAGTTATTCTTGTACTACTTATTGAAAAAGCAACAAGCTTTATTGATGAGAGATTGTATCTAAAGATTGCTATTAGTGTTACACATGAGGGTAGAATATAGATATCCATATGAATTACTCAATTAATCCTTCATAGTTTAAAATACGTAATACAAGTGGGAATTACTTCAAAATGAAGCAAAAGAATTAGAAAGTGAGTCGTGCAAAATCTTGTTGAAGTGTTGTTAAACACGACCCTGTTACAGATGGGAAGACATTCAAGAAGCCTAGACGTCCATATGAGAAGGAAAGGCTCGATGCTGAGCTCAAGCTTGTTGGAGAATATGGTCTGAGGTGCAAGAGGGAGCTTTGGAGGGTTCAATATGCTCTGAGCCGTATTAGGAACAATGCTAGGAATCTTCTGACTCTCGATGAGAAGGATCCTCGCCGTATTTTCGAGGGTGAGGCACTCTTGAGGAGGATGAATAGATATGGCCTGCTGGACGAGAGCCAGAACAAGCTCGATTATGTCCTTGCTCTCACTGTGGAGAACTTCCTCGAGCGCCGTCTCCAGACGCTCGTGTTCAAGGCCGGCATGGCCAAGTCCATTCACCATGCTAGAGTTCTCATCAGGCAAAGGCATATCAGGTATAACGATCACAATTGGTGGTGTCTCGATTTTATTTTAATTTTCATTAGTTTCTTGCTGTTTTATGAACTGTAACATAGAAGCAATTATGTTTCTTCGTGCTAGATTGTGATGTCGACTTATTCTGAGCTTGGACTCTGGTATTTCTTCGATTACAATTGGTGGCTCAAATTTATTTTATTTTTCAATAGTTTCTTGCTGTTTTATGAACTGTAACATAGAAGCAATTATGTTTTTTGTGCTAGATTGTGATGTTGTGTTACATATTGATATAATGACTTATTGGTATTTCTTAGATCACAACTGGTGGCTCAATTTTATTTTGTTTTTCAATAGTTTCTTGCTGTTTTATGAACTGTAACATAGAAGCAATTATGTTTTTTTGTGCTAGATTGTGATCTTGTGTTGCATATTGATGTAATGACTTATTCTGAGCTTGGACTCTGCTTATTTCTTCGTGTTTTCTGCAATGAAATTTGTATAGAGGGGTGGCATTATGTTCGCTTGTTCAAGTAATTACTTGCATTGCACTCGATGGATTATGATTCTGTTTCTATTTCTGTTTCTGTTTCTGTTTCTTGAATGAATTATGAATTTGCCTCCGGAGATCGAATCTTGAATTTTGCTGTCTGGGCACCTAATCTCGACAAACAGTCTCACAATTTCTATCATCTGCAGTTGCCCATTTTTGTTAATTGGGAAATTGCTACTAATTATATTTCATGCACTAATTTTCTTTTGTACTCCAGGGTGGGGAGGCAGGTAGTGAACGTGCCTTCATTCATGGTGAGAGTTGACTCACAGAAGCACATTGACTTCTCTCTCACGAGTCCCTTTGGTGGTGGTCGTGCTGGAAGAGTGAAGAGAAAGAACCTAAAGGCGGCAGCAAAGAAAGCCTCTGGTGGTGATGGAGATGAGGAAGACGAAGAGTGAGCTCTCAAGTCAGAGCTTTTTTTATTTAGTTACTTTTGCTACTGTACTCGTTTAAGAAGAAAAACAGTGTTTTGAGTTTCTGTTTCTTGCAGTTATGTTTATGTTGTGACATTGTTTTATTTAAGACTTGGTGGTTTGGCCTTTTTTGGCTTGTTCTTTTTTCGACTGTCGGTTTTGAGTTTTGACATTAATATCAAAATTGGATATTTTTATTCTTATCATTTAT